TATAAGAACAGTAATTTTTATGTCATTTACTACACAGCTAATGTACGGACAATAGTTTTGAGAATTAATATGTATTATTCTACTCATATTTTACTAAGAATGATTTGTCTACAATAAAGTTAAATGATAAAAGGTAACAGAAAGAAAGAATTTTTTACTATACATTATCGTTTTAAACTTTTTTTTTTGTAAATTACAGTGTACGAAAAGTAGTGTATTCATTTACAGGTCGCCTGGGATAATGCGGAATCTCGGTTAATGGGGATTCTACTATATTTATTTTAGACAGGTTTTAGTTTATTTTTCCGATTACATTTATCCTCCTTTTGCAATGGTGTAAAATTACAACACTTTACACTATTATAACAGTCTATTATACAAATAAAATAATAACCAAATAATATCAAAATGCCGCAATTTTTGTAATTTCTTTGTGATTTTTGTAATTTTTTAATTTTATTGCTTTGTTATTATAAATAGTAATTTTTAATCTTTATAGATCTTTTTGTAGATTACTTTTGGAATGTTTTGTTTTCCTATTTTATTAAGTTAAATTTACTGATTTTTTGTTGATTAAAATTGCTTTTAATAAAGACAAATTTTAATATATCTACCTATAATATTTTCTAACAATTTAAAGATTTTGTTTAAATTCCTATACCATCATGAAGATGGAAGGACTAGGCCTTAAGTATTAGAAGGTTCTTAAGGGATTAAAATTTCTAGTTACGCCACTGACAGCAACATATTTTGTTCCGAGGAGAAAGAGAGAGAGATGCAGATTTTTGGGCCATTCCGATTAATCAAAATTTCGGACTACAGGGGTTTTATTTAGCGAGGTCCTATTGTATATAAATGTTTTATTAATAAAATTTTTGATGATTGAAAATTAATATTTTAAAAAAATTCAACAATTGTTGAATTTATTTGTATAATATGTAACAAATATTGAAACATTTTAGTGAATAAATGTAATTTATTAATTTTTCTCATTTGCCAGATTATTTTTAACTATTGTCAAAAGTTTTCTTCGACATTAATTCTTAGCATTTATAGTCAGCTACGGCACAGCTCACGTTATTATTACGGTTACTAACTTTTTTAATTATTAAAATGAATATCCATTCAACTTTCTCCGGTCATACATACGTATCATCATTAAATAAACGATGAATAAAATACTCTAATGATAATTTACTAATTTTATTTTATCTAATTTCAATAAAAGTGTATGCAATTCTCAATAAAATAATTTCTGCATTGTTTTATTTGCTAGAATGCTAAAATTAGTTTAGTTGAAATGCAGTATGATCGATTGCTTCATGTCCATTATATCTATAATGTCAAATATCTATATTGACTGTTTTTCTGTTAACTTAAATCTAAAACTTGAATATCCTGATAACTTGTTTATTATAATTAAAATATAATTTTATAAAATTTAGTTCATACAGTATAAGTAAAATGAATGTATAACTATATATATACATTTAAATTTATTATAAATTTAATATATATATATATATTATATATATATATATCAAAGTTTAAAGTATCAAATATATATTATATAATATATATATAAAGATATATTTCAGTATATAAGNTGTGTGTGTGTGTGTATATATATATATATATATATATCAAAGTTTAAAGTATCAAATTTTATATATATATATATATATTAAATTTGATACTTTAAACTATATGTAAGTTACATAAACAAACATTAAATTACTATAATCATTTCAACTCGTTTTTTATTTGATAACTTGTAACAGAAATTAAGATACATATATTTAGTTATATATTTGTCTTAATTTCTGTTAACAACTTTATTTTTTAAATAATAAATATTACATAAATATAGTAATAATCAAATTTATATTTAAATTGGATATAAAGATGATTCTAAACAAAACATTTACAGTATTGTATAAGTAATACTTTACTGAAAAGTGATACTTTAATGTATTACTTTACAAGAGTGAATTTATGTTTTTATATTTATTATAAAGATAATGGGTTGTTTAACAAATCGATATTTCAATATTCTATACTGAAAGAGTATTTTAAAAATATATTAAATTAATTATTTTTCACACTTAAACTTTTCAGGTAAAATAGTCATAAAATTTTCTACTCCACAATATAATACATTATATCTCAAATATTATATGTGTATATATACACACATATATATGTATATATACAATATTGTTTAGTATGTTTTTTTTAATATTCCCAAGCTTTCAATATAATCAAAACATTAAACACTTTTGTTCAAACTTATGTATAGAATTTAAAATAATAAAGATGGGAAAAAAACTTCTTTAAGTTCAAGTTAAGTTTCACTAAGTTTACAAATTTAATAATTTTTAAAAGTTTTAATAAAGTTTTTAAGGTAATAATAGTAAATATGAAATGTTAAATGCCAACAATAATATCTTATTATTTAAATAATAGAGGAAAAATATCTAGAATTGTATTTGGATAAACTGAAACAAAAATTTTAAATAAACATTAAATAGATAATATTGATAGATCTTGTATATATTTTATCGATTGAAAATGAGAACAAAAATATTTTTCCTATATCAGTAGTCTAACGATTTCAAACAGACAGGTTTATGTTTATGAAATCTATATTTATTTTAACAAGTAATAGCAATTTCGGTTTAACTAGCAGTTAAATTGCATTACCAAAAACTTAATTATATAACTAAAAGATGGATGTAAAAGGTTTTAAATAATTATTTCACTTTAAAAATATATAAATCTATAATAAACTTAAGGTTTTAATATAAATATATATTATTTNAAAAAATAAAAATTGCAAATTCTTGCATTAAATGTAATATAAAAAAGTAAATTTTGTAAATAATGTTACACTATTATTTAGGTTGTTCGGAAAGTAAGTTCGTTTTTTTTACCACTAGATGGATTAATCGTACTTTTACCGCCATTTTCATTCTAAACCGTATTATCTATATATATTTTGACAGCTAGCATTTTAAGGCTTATTTGTAAAAAAAATTTTGTTTGATTTTGTGCAATTGTTTATTTTTTGTATCCCATCAAATATGGAAGGTCGAAAGCAGCATTTTCGGCATATTTTGCTCTTTTATTACCGAAAAGGTAAGAATGCTGTTCAAGCGAGAAAAAAATTGTGTGACGTGTATGGACAGAACGACAGTGCCAAAACTAGTTTACAAAATTTTGTTCTGGCAATTTCAATATTGAAGATGCACCACGTTCTGGATGGCCAGTTGAAGCCAATGAAAACAAAATAAAGGTACTGATTGAAGCAAACTGCCAAATAACAACACGTGAAATCACTAAGAGATTAAATTTGTCAAATTGAACTGTTTATGA